ATTAGCCACAGATGCACTTAAAGTTTGAACTGCGTACTTAACTTTCATTTTGTTCTGTTTCCAATTTATACATTGGCTACTTAAGCGATTTTTTAGTTTAAAAGTTAATCTGTTTTGAAGAATATACAATTCATTTATGTATTCCCATTTAATTGAACCTTCACTACTTCTAAATTCTCTGTAATCTGCGAGTGCATTTCGCGCTAATTTGACCATATGACATGGATCCAAAAGCACTCGCACTTTATGCTGCATGGTAACATGCGGGAAAAAATTTTTCATACTAGTAATATCGTCTACAAAAATACTTGCTCCTAAAATTTGTAGAGCACTACAATTTACACTGTCGCCATCACATGTAACTGCTCGTACTTTCAAACCTGATTGTGCAGATAATGTGAGGGCAGTTTTGATTAATTCGGCCAATGTTATAGCCGTCATATTGTGTTTAAAAAAATACGCAATAGGCCATTTCCAGACACCTCTCAAACAAACTAGCATAAAGACAAGTGCTTCTGTACTTTCTGTATCTGTATTTTCTACATTTATACCGTTGCCGTAATCACAATATCCAACATATTTGTGCTGTTGCTGATCCCACAATAATTGCTGACGTATAGCCATAGCATCAAATATTAAGCAGCAGTCTTTGTCTTCTTCTTTGAGTGCCTCTAAAGCGTTTAGAACATGCGATTGAAAACCGGGTTGTGCATCAACTGTAGAATTCCAATTTCTTATAGCTGATGAATGTGGTAATTTAAATATTGTCCTGTAAAAATTAAATCATAAATTAAATACATTCCAAACATTACATGAAAAATAAAAATCCCAGTAAATGTAACCTCTCTTTATAACATCTTTACAATTTTTTGCAATCTTAATTGTGAAATTAACTGCAATTTTAAAAATTCAAAAAACACTATTTTGTAATTACAATTATGTTACTGAAATATATTATACATTACAAATTTAATATAAAATTATTTTTTATAAAATATAAAATAGATTAACAAATACATAATTACAGTTAAATATTTTCACAAGAAAGATTATATTATTTATAATTTGATTTTGTACTTAAGATTGTTTCAAGTGAAACGACTCTCCGTTGGTGTTAATTTGCGAACCGGACTTAGCTCGCCGGGCAGGAGTTCGCGGCAGAGTCAGGGCACGACAATAATTACGATAGTTTGACGAAACAACGGATTTATTTAGGCACAGATAAATGAGTATTTACACTTCGGCGAGGAGCCGTTTATAACGCGGGTTTACGCGTGCGAAGATGATCGGTATTTTACAATGGAGTTTTAGAATGATGATCGGTATTTTACAATGGAGTTTTAGAAGATGATCGGTATTTTACAACGGAGATGGTTGATGTGTACAGATGCGTTCTTACGCGCGCGGAGATGGGCGGTATTTACAGCGCGTGTTTACGCGGCTTCGCGGCCCGCGAGCGAGGGTAACGGTGCGCGGCGCGGGGCGGGACGGGGCCGGCCACGCGGTGGTTTAAAGAGCCACGCGGTGCTTGACAACGTCGCGGCTTCGACGTGCGGCGGCGGGCGTCCGGGCCGTTTAAAGGGCCTGGCGCGGTAAATCGACGGCTCGGTATTCCCCCCCTCGCGGTGAGACTCCGTGGGTGTTGGTTCGGTGGTTTCGGTGCGGACGCGCCGGATGCCGGTAACAACCGGCGGGGGCGAGTCACTCCTCACCTCCCTCTCAGTCCGGGCACGCCGGGGCGTTCTGGACTCGATGCCCGGTGGACAGCGGTAAAACCCGCTGGGGGCGAGTAACACCTCGCCTCGCTGTATCCACCGGAATCGAGAGTAGGATTGCGTAAGACTGCGGCGGCAAGGGCTGAGCCGTGAACTCCCGGCAGAGGCGAGTTGCTCCTCACCTCGGATCAGCGCTTCTCGAGCAGGCTTTTGCGGATAGGATTCGGAGCGGGCTTCGTTGTGATCGGAACTAGGCGGTCGCGGAATCTGTCGTTTTCGGCTTCGGTGCCGTTTTTTATACCCGTCTACCCCCAATTGTTATTGCTTTTTAGCAATTTTCGGCGGGTAGGGGTAGACGGGTCGGGGTAGCGTGTTTGCGCGGCCGGGTGACAGCGCGCCACGTGTGTCTCGCTGGTTCGGGCGTGCTCGGTTGGTCCCGCGGGCGATCGGTTCGCCCGCGAGCGCGTCGTGTGATGTGCTTACGCGGTGAGCGCCCCGTGCGCTCACCCTTCGCCCGGTATTCGGCGGCATCCGGCGCTTGCCGGGAACGATGCGTTTATCGGGGTGCATCGTTACACAAGTTTACTTTCAGATGCTAATAGACTGTTTTGTATAGTTACATAGCATCTTCCATTTAATTCGAGACAATTACAAATATAAAATCGGATCACAAATACTTTTTTATGACAGCAATACTATATCTTAAATAATATTAGGAGATTATTATTACAATTTAGTACAATGCACATTCTCCTTGTTATTTAATGCATTAATTGTTATTTAATGCAAACAAGCAAAGCAACATCATAATAGCATTAGCATATGTGATAGTAAAGTTCGTAACAACACCAATATCACATGCAAAAATTAGAATGAAAAAAACACAAACACAACAAATTCGTATATAAATATACAGAGTGTCCCCCAATAAGTGGTCACTCCTTTTTATGTCACCTAAAAGAGATAGACCTAACAAATATAATATCAAATTAAATGGTTTTAATTGAACTCTATTGTGAGCATAGTGATTGCTTCTAAAAATTATCTGTTAGAAGACGGAAATGCATACTACTCTATTCTGTAACATAGATAATTTTTATAAGCAATCACTATGCTCACAATAAAGTTCAATGAAAACCATTTAATTTGATATATTTGTTATGTCTATCTCCTACGGTTTGTGAGATGAAAAGGGGGTGGCCACTTATAGGGACACCCTGTATACAATAAAGATGTTTTACAAAGAATTAATTCATGCTTTCATAAGAAAAATTGTAAAGAAGCAATTAATCTAATTAGTATAAGATTGATTTGTATAGTTTTTATGATATGTGATTTATAAATTTTTCTATGTAATATAAATTTCCAAATAAAAATAAAACTTTGAAACTTATTAGAAAACTATGACTACTATATATGTATAAGATGTTCAAAAAAGGTTCTACCCTTAAAGTCTTGAACTCTTTTTTCACCTTGTTTAAGTTGTTAAATTCCACTAGAAAAATTTATAATGTTATTAATAATTTAAAAGAACAACTTAATTATTAATAAGTAGAAATGTTATTTATCTTTACTGGGATATTTGATTAGATAAGAAAGAAAACAAACAAATGCTAACCGACAATAGTCATAAGCCCTTGGAGAGTAATAGTGCATAGTAATTGCAAACCGTTTTACCTCTTCGGTATAACGTCGTCCATGTGGAGTTGTATTTTTATTCCTCTTTTCATTTTTTAATAAAGGAAGTAGTAAATTACCGTAGTCGCTGTTTAATTTTAACACAGCATCGTTTTCCAAAATCTTTTTGTTTTTTAACGACTTAAATGCAGTTTTTAAATTAGTGATATTATTTTTCTTTCGTTTTATGGTTTTGTTTAAAATTTTATTTTTCTTTCCAACTGCCGCCACTTTTTGTTTGAATACTGTTTTATCATTATGCATTAAAGTATGAAACATCTCTGCCTGCTGATTTAGTCGTATTTCCTGTGATATTTTTAGATCTTCTATTATTCTTTGTAATTTTTTATTTTCCAGAAGATTATTGCAGTTTGAACCTGTAATATATTATAATTAATTCATTAATTACTTTTAAGAAATAAATTAGTATATAAAAAATGGTAATTATTTAGATTAACACACCCACCTCCAAT